GTAAATATCACTCTTATTTGGTGTATTTGTTTCCATATGTCGTTTGTGTGTGTTAGTGAACATATTTATATTTGTGAGTCACCCTCAAGTAAACGGATAAAAATAAAAGGGGGTCAGCCCCCCGCTCTCATGAATGTGGTATAAACCTACACGCGGGGATCTGAGCTGTTATGAATTCCCTTCATTAGAGAAGGTGAAGGACAGGATGGTGATGAGTGAGGGTAAGGTGCTGACTGGTAAGTATATTTAGAAATTAGTGTAGGCGGCAGTGTCCTCGTCTCAAGGGATCGTTTTAGCCAAATTTACTGTTTTTTCTGACGGGTTTGAAAGACGTTTATTTAAGTATTTGAGTGGGAGTTGTATCTCATGGTCACCATATCACATCTTTGTTCCCATATGAAGTAAGGTAAATGTGTCAACACCAATAAGAAAAATTTAATTGCTTATTAAATTTAAAGTGTACTTTATTCATCATCAATATACCGGCATTTTAACTGAAACTTTGAATTGATTTAACTCGATTGACAAGTTTACACGAGTAGTGATGAGTGTGATCTATATTTGGTTATATTTAGTTCTAGATGTTATAAATGCTGTGTGCAAGACATCCCTGATCCATAACCTCTTGTGTTGAAGTGGCCACACACACACCAGGGTCCACCTCTCAACTTACTTTTGTTCACAACTTGGGTATGCGTATATTGTGGACAAAATAATGGCCCTCGGTTGCATAAGTCTGGTTTGGCGTTAGTGAGCCACAATTTCCACTGTAGGACGTAGACTATCATGTTTCATATCAACACCAAAGAAGAGTTCCAGTATTGTCAGCAGTGCTCGTACAGTAATATGAAAGGCTGTGGCTATTTGCCCAGTCACGGACCTTTAATTACTTCTGTTACTTGTCCGGCATTAGTTCCAATGGACCAAGAATGATGACGCTGATCCTAGACGATTGAATTCGATCACTTGCAAACCTAACCTGACTACATTTGCAAGTGACTGGATTCATTCTTGGTCAATAAGAACTAATGCTGGACAAATAGCAGAAGTAATTAAAGGTCCATTACTGGACAAATCGGCTCTTTATATGTGAAGTAATGATGCTAAACTAATTATGATTTGATGATTTTTTTTTTTAGTAAAGATTCATACAGTACAAGTATCCGTATATAAACTTTTAGTAATGTATACAGAGGTGGAGCAACAAAATTCAGTCATAAGAAGGACTCCTTGGAGAAGCTTTGGGCCAAAACAGTTCATGGTGGTAAATGGTATAAACCACCCTAACCCACCTTCATAGTGCCTACATAGCTGGACTCCCTGGCCAATTAATGTAACAGATTCTGTAGCCGGGTGGCCTGACTAAGTGTACAATACAGTACATCAAATATTGTCGACTAATTCTAAACCTCTTTAGTATATTTTTACCCAGTCTGATTTTGCTTCTCGTTTATTTTTTATAGACAAAACAATTAGATGCGAAGGTTAGGTTCGGGTATAGTTTTAAGTTGAATTTCGTTCTAAACTACAGAACTGGAAAACTGTGGGTAGATATTATACTGTACTTGTGTTGTTATTTGCTGTGATGATATTGGGTTTCTAAAAATGGATTTAAGTATTTTTATCTCTTATTGTTATATCTTTAACACAAAACCACACTTGGGCCATTATAAATATCATAAACAAACCACTAGCACCATTACAGTTATTGTAAAGGGGCCAATAAAAACTTTATACTGCACTACACTACATATAGTTACAGGGATGGGTTAGGTTAGGTTATTAGACCCATACTATTCATTGTTTCTTCTTAATACTCTTATACTGTACAGTATTGGATTTATTGTGTGACTAGTTTTGTGTTGTTTCACTTGTATTCCACCCTGCCAGTCATTCCGTGCTTTCAGGATGTTTGTTTAGAAATTTATGATATTAATAGACACCGTTTTTGTATAGTTATTTTATTTTACGCTTTCTCCATAGTTTTTATATACTGTAGTTATACTTTAGTTTTAGTTTTCTTTCCTTCATATATACTCTCACATATAAGTACAGTATCTATATAAGAATGCTGTGCATTACGTACTTGGAAATCAATTCTGGGGACTTGATTTGTTCTCCAGCTTGGTCTATAACTAAGTTTCTGTGATTACAGCATAGCTAATCATCTAGGTTATAAATTCTTTCAGTGTCTAGGTCAATATATTCAATGCCGTAGTTGTACCAGGGTTGGTCAGGTATTGTCTGATGAAACTTGTTTACACAGTTGATAACAAATTCTTAAATCGCCCAATTAATAATACTGTACCGAAACTCCATTCATTATATTCTAATTCATTGGTATAAAGTTTACAAGATAAGTGTTTTATTATGTTAAAATACCCCTCCCCCCCCCCCAAGACACCATACAGTAGTATTATGAAGTACCCTGTAGCTATACTATACTGGAAATATATTATATATACAGGTACCATAATTATATAGTAATTGGTTCTTTATATCTTAAGCTGGTTAATATGAAGACCATCATGTTCTTGGCATGAATGCTCTTAGAAATTTATCAGAATCACGTGCTTCAACACCAGTCTACCATCAGTTACACAATGACAAAGATCTAGTTCTGTGTAGGTCACCCATGTGAACAAGTAAAATGTTGCAACCTCATTTGATGAAGAACTTCTCTCTTGCATCTTCCCATTGTCTCAGTCACAATGCATCCACATAACTTACATACATTTATCAGACATTGAACCTACAATTCTAATGGCTGTCAACCTCAATCCACGTGACTTGTAGGTTTCAGTTGTCAGTCAGTGGATTCTCATGACATATAGCTGTCATTTACTGTACAGTACTGTAAATCTAAATGCCTCTTAACTGTCAGGTACTGCATTGTGAACCCACATAACATACAGCTGTCAGTCAAGCAAATTTTTTTCTTCCTCTTGGATGAAAACCTGTGACTTCTTGGTGTTCCCCAATGCCTTTTCATGATGCTAATCAACAACACTAATCACTGTGTCAGTCAGCATGGTCCTGGGTGACTTCTGGCTGTCACTCAGGTGGTTCCTTGTCATCACAATGGTTTTGACCTTTGTGTACAGTACACCCTAATTAGAATCTTGTCCACTTTGAATGATTTCTAATGATACACTTACTATTGCTGCTAAAACAGAGTGAATTTTGTCACCAGGAAAGGGTAATCTTTGGTAAAAGGAAGAAGTGAAGCTGGTATTGTCTAATTAGCTTGTGGGATAATATCTCGGCTTGTCTGTATGTGTGTTTGAAAATTTGCACGGAATTTTATTTCTCACAAAGCGAATGAGCAGAATTTTATGAATTGTGCAACATTTTATGTTGATGGATGGTGCAGTTGTTATGGTTATCACTATTGTCAGTTCCCATGAAAAGGTTACTGTAGCTATGTACAGTTTCTGTGGAGTATTATGATATAATATTTTATAAATATTTGTGTGGACAGGTGATACTGTATACAGTACTGTACCAGTATATATCTAGGTGGTTCTGTTTGAGTAAGATATTGTCTGTATCTTCTTATACATGCAGTAATAGCTATCTATGATGTTCACTCCTCTCAGAGGTTCTCTCTGAGAGGATAGCTTCAACAGAAAACCCTTCAGGTAACAACATCATTATATGTTTCAATTACCTTTATTATTCCCCTTAACCCCTGGTTTACGATGTTACCTCTGAACTAAATAAAACCATCTGGTGTTAGCCAAATAAAATACTGAAAGTGACTTCCCCATAGCAAAGGGGTTGACTCCTCCCTTACTCTCTCTTTAATGCTGTATGTTGTTTTACCTTTCCCAACATGCCCATTACATTAATTACCCTTGTAACACCTGGTTTGTCATTCTATTTCTGGCTCCCTCCTCTCATGATCATACAGTTTTGGAGCATCTCTCTCAAGCCTCCCTCACTTTGTCGTTCTGCCTGTCAGATCTAAAGGTGGTTTTAGTGACTTTGACATTGTAATGAATTTCTTGAAACTTGGCACTGGTAAGCTATAAATGATTCTGATGTCTGTAAGAATGTGCGATTCCTTGGTTCTACTTTGGTAACCTTTGTATATAGTATATGTTCTAAAACCAGAAGTCTTTAAAAATTACTTCTCCATCCGATATTGCTGAAATCTGTAAAATATTACGTATTCAAATTATCTCACATAATAATTGATACACAAATTAGCAATTGGCCTTGTTGAGATAATAATTTTTTTGTTTAACCCTTTTGACGCTATGTTCGACAAAAGTCGAATTAAATTTTAATGTCACTGAAAGCGATAATCAACTTTTTTCCTTGGCCGCCAAAATATTTTCATGCAATATTCGACATATAACACCAGTTTGAAACGTTCGCCATGAAATGGATGTGTTGCACCATCGTGGCCAGAATCGAGTTACTTAGCACTGCCTGCTGCTTGTAAATAAAATGTCAGCTTGAGAGACACTCGCATGATGCAGCTCTTGACAGACTTTGATTTTTTTTCAGATTTTCATCATATTATAGGAGGTGTTATGAGCACAATTATATCACAACTTAAAGAACAAGTGTGTGTTCGTCTTTTAGTGTACATTTCAGTGATATATATATACAAAAAATAAGGCCAAAATTTGGCATTTTTTGTGCCCAAATAGCAGTTTCAGAGTAACAGCGGTAGAATACAAATATGCATTAAAAGGGTTAATCAAAAGTGTGTACATTATTGTTGACTTCGCAGGCAGTTTTTAATGGGATTTAACAAAATTTGGTACAAGTTATATGCCTTTGTGGATGGAAGATACACGTAAAGGGAGGGTAGTGTGAGCTGGTGACTGGCAGATTTTTCCAGCAAATATAAATTTACTTGCTGGCAATTTTTTATCATAGATCCATACGCATCATTTTAGGCACTGTAAAGTACATACTGTAGCTACTTGTATATCTACATCAATGAGGCAATATAATTTTGGATACAGTAATACAGTACTGTACTG